CTTCGTGTTGAGGGTCGTCGAGGCTTGATCTCTTCCACGGGTGATCTTCTAGAGTAGAACGGCATGTCAAATGCTTGTTGTTCTTCTTCTAGGCTTTGAGATGTTTTCTCTAAAATGGTTTAGAGTATTTGATGAGGGGTTTCTCTAGAGAGATTTAGAGTATTTGATGACAAATTTTCTTTAGAGAGATTTAGAGTATTTGAGAGGCTTTTTTTTTTGTATTTGAATTCTCCTTGTTTTCTCTAGGTTTCTCTCTAAATTTTCTCTCTAAGTTTCTCTCTAAGTTTCTCTCTAGGTTTTTCTTTCTGTTTCGTTTTCTCCCTTCAAATGAATTAGAGAGCCTCTATTTATAGAGTGAGTGACTCTTAGGGTTAGGGTTTGATGTACAATGGTGGTGGGCCTGCTTGATTATTATAACCCATTTTTAATGGGTTTTAACTATTAAATAAACAATTTAATTAAAATAACTAAAATGGGCTAATTTAATTTATTCACCCAATTTAATAATTTTAACTAATAGTCAAATTAGCATTAAGTCAATAATTTGATTTTTGACCCATACAATATCCAATGTGGCACTTATGTAATTGTTTTGTGCCTACAATTATAAAAAAAATTATATTATGAAACTAGACGTTATGACGAATCTAATTGTATATTATATAATAACAATTATTTATTTTATAAAGGTGAAAAAATTAAGTCAATTATTGAATGTGAATAGTGCAAAAATAAAAGTGATGCAATTAAAAAAGACGGAGTGAGTACATTTTTTCACTTTCTCTCTCTAACTTTTGTTCATGATTGTATTTTTCACTTTTATTAATGTACTTTATTCACTTTCTCCTCCTATTTCTTAAATACCGTGAAAAATCACAAACAACAACTATATTATGGAACGGAGGAAGTATTATTTATTTTTTTCAGTTATGGTTATATTCAATTATAAATTATTAATCATGAACTAATTGTGTTAAACTTAGGGAAATATTGGAGAAAACGGCTTAACCATTTGCATTGATAATACTCACAAATATATACCCAATACAATCGGAAATACAACTTGCCTAAAACTCCTAACAAGATAAATTTAACGTAAATACAATATTAACAAATATAACCAAGCCGACTCTAATAAATTGTCCATTCCACGCATATCACATTTTACATTCTGCTTTTTTTATTCTACAACGTAAATGTAAAGCCGGCCTCTTATGAAATCCGCCAATGCTTATAGTCGGCTAGCCGCCCCTCTTGTATGGGATCGAGTCGATACCGGTATGAGTTGGACAAAAGCCAGGCCAAGTCATTGCATCACTTTCTTATCAATTCTGGTATCAATTCTTATCATCAACAACAACAACAACAACAACAATAATAATAATAATAATAATAATAATAATATTAACAACAATAATAATAATAATAATCAATAAGTAATAAATAATAATAATAATAATAATAATAATCATCATCAATAAATAATAATAATAATAATAATAATAACAATAATAATTGAAATAATAATACTAATAATAATAATCAATAAATAATAATAATAATAATCAATAAATAATAATAATAATAATAACAACAATAATAATAATAATAATAAATATGAAATTTTGATTTTTACCACCTTCAAATAACGACTTTATTGAATTTACCACCTCCAAAAAAAAAAGATTTACTTTACCACCTCATAAAAAAATAAAACATCAGTTTTACCACCAATCACCTCCAACTAACGGATTCCGTCCATAAATCCGTTAGTGGGGCCTACCTTGCACACATGTCGCCATATTATTGGGTAAGTTTAAAAAAAAAAAAAAATCCCCATTAATCAACCGGTGTTGCTACCACCGTCGGGACCCCCACCGCCGACCGACCACGACCAGCCCCCACCACCTAACCTCTACGACCAGCCCCACCACCGCACCGCACAACCACAACCACCTTTCCACCAATTTTTATTTATTTTTTTGCTCTGTTTTCTCGAAAGCCACAACAATGGCGTCTCTTCCAATGGAGTTAATCACCTCCATTCTTTTCGATTACCCACTAAATCACTACTTCGCTTCAAATGCGTTTCCAAGGCTTGGCATTCCTTAATCAATCAGCAGCACCCATTTAATCAGACTTCATCTCGCTCATTCTCTCTCCTCTGACCGTCGTCTTCTTATCCTCAACCATGGAAGTCACCTGGAATCGACTCCATTGAAGTGGGGTTCTGAGCTTGATGCTAAAAACGATTGACAAGGTTTGATTTACCCAATTCTTTTTCTGGTTTTGAGGTTTCGATTTGTGGGTGTTGTAATGGATTAATTGCTTTGGTTTGTAGAAATGTTGATGATAATCGATTTGTATCCCTGTTGTTGGTGATTTGGCTTCTTAGTTTTTGGCAGCCACCAAATCCCGACCACCCATAAATCCCCTTCTAATTCCGACCACTCTAAATACCCTAGCCACCACCAAATTTCGCACTCCTAAAACCCTAACCACCACCTAATTCCGACCACCTCCCTAACCCACACACCAAATTCCGGCCCCTCCTTAGTCACACACGAAATTCCGACCAACCGAGGTAGTTGATTTCGTTGCTGGTTGGTTTACACGAAAGATCGGGGAAGATGAAGAAGAAACGTCAAAAAGGTGGGCCCTACTAACGGATTCGTGGACGGAATCCGTTAGTTGGTGGTAAAATCGATTTTTTGGAAATTTTGTTGGTGGTAAAGTAAATCTTTTTTTTTTGGAGGTGGTAAATTCAATTAAGTGGTTATTTGAAGGTGGTAAAAGTCAAAATTTCCTAATAAATAATAATAATAATAATAATCATCAATAATTAATAATAATAATAATAATATTGTTATTAATAATAATATGTACATTTGTATATACATATATGTATAGTAATAAATAATCAAAGATCACTAATCCGTAGTTAAAAATCACTAATTAATAAGTTCAGTTCAGTTCAGTTCAGCTCAGTTCAGTTCAGTTCAGCTTAGTTCAGTCAATTGGAATAGACCTTTCTTTTTTCACAAAATTCTGTAAAATAAATCTAACAATAACACATTACATATGGGGAGTTGCCACTTTTATTTACACATTTGTTCAAAATTAACATTATATAAAGTAAATCATTCTGAACCAATTTATTTATTTTTTACAAATCACACCCTCGTACATATCAAAGAATCAACAAATTAAATAATGAACTACGTAAAATATACTTGAAGTGAGCATCAGTAATTATTGAATCTACAATGAAAGAATTAAAAACAAGCTGATAAGTAACATGAACATCAACTGAGAACAATTCATATAGTTCCTTCCAACTCCGGATGTAAGAGGAATTCCTCTATTGTGCTTCCTCTTAATCAAATTACCCTGCCCATCTACGTTCAAATCGGCTCCCACCACGTAACGTTGCCATTTGGACTTAAAAATGAGACTATACTCGTACCTTATCGAAGTTACAAGCTCCACCCTAAACACCACCGGTGGCACCGTGGTAACATTATTACCAAAGTCGCTAGCACCACCCTCAATAGTCCCAACACGGCGTGTAGAGCGTCCCTTGTTAGGTAGGTAGAAGGATTTAAACGTTGCATTTCCAATAGGTAAAATAGTAGCGTTACTTGGTTTGTAATAAAAGGTAAAGTTGAGGGTATTATAGTCAATTGGATAGGGGTCAAAATTTAAAAACTTTATTTCAAAGTTGACCGTGTTTGAGGAATTTGTAACTTCCTTGAGGGTAGTAACGGTAAATTTTTCGATGGTTATTTCGGGTTGAGCGGTTGAGGGCTGGAGGAGAAGGCAGAGGAGGACGGTGGCGAATAAGCCGAATGAGACTATGCCGCCGTAACAACCACCGTGTGTAGGCTTTTCCATTGGTTATTAATAATTTTTATGCTAAATTATGATGAAATGGTTGATGTTTATTTTTGTATTTGTAGTAAGGGATAGCAGCTGTGTATTTGAATTTGTTACATTAAACAATGTCAAGTAGCTAGAGCTAATAATCTAGTCAAACTTGGAATACCTATGAAATTAAACAAGACTATGTCAAGTGTTAATCGCTTAATCAAATTGAAATTATCAATAATTTAGGATGGGCCACTTAAAACACGTTATAATACTGTGATTAGTCATCCATCATGGAACGTATATATATAAAATTATAAATAAGGAAAAGTGTTTGATTACTACCTTTCACACCGCTAATCAACTTTTTTAATGCAAGTTTTAGTTAGGAACAATAACCTTGAATAAATTTGTAATCTATGTAATTCAAATTAATATGTTGTTCATTTGGTTAAATGTATATAAATAAAGATAGCATAATCATTGGGCTAAGAATCTAAGGGTTGAAGAACATAAGATGCTAACAATCTATGTTTGTTACGGCTGAATCCATCACAAACAATGCATGACATGATAAATTGTTTATACATAGTGACATATACATGCCGCATGTATGACACGGTGGCAAATCATAAGTTTTGACTATGTGAACCATCCTCATAAAATTTTATCATGTTATAACTAACGCATAATTTGTGGATTAGATCATGGGCTGAAATCAACCAGCGCCAAATCACGCAGGGTGAGAATAAATAAGGGATTACTCGACTCAACATAACCTACAATCATATTTGATAGAAGTTGTTAATCCTATGTAATTTCATTCACTAATTATTGCAACCTATAAATTATAATTTTTTTTATTGTATCACCAACCTTTACAATAGGTATTGGGTCGTGCAAACTGCATACCTAAAAATAAATGTGCACTTCCTCCACACTTATGAAAAGGCAGCTTATTCCATGCATGTATGTATTGAAAAATAGAAGAATTGAAGTATGAACAATGACAATGCACTCTTTACTAGAAAATTTTGTGTACAGTATTCTCACCAGAGTTTATGTTTTGAACAAAATTGTCATAATTTCTTCATTGAATAATTACTATTACATGTCCTTTTGGCACACACATACCTAACGGGATTTTTAATTAAAGGATGCAAACAAACAAATTAACGTTAAAGTACATAAAAGTGTTGCGTCTTGTAATGCACTTTTATCCACTCTCGTTTTACAACATTGAAATAAATCAAATAATCATTTATTTTGTTTATTCAATTTAATCACTTGAAACATAGTACATAACCATTTACATCATTTTTCAAAAAAAATAAATAAATAAATAAATCAATAAATCAACAAACAAGAAACAAAAAAATTGACAAACAATAATAATCATGTCTACCAAGATTGAAAGAAAAACAAAATACACAACAAAATGCCCATGAACTGAAAACGGCCAATAATATTCATTTTAGCTCTAGAGGTAAGCTGAATTCCCTTATTGACCAAATTACCCTCATTATCAACTTTCAAGTCAGCTCCAACCACATTACTTAGCCGTTGGTACAATCTATTCCTTTTAAACTTGTACCTCATTGTTGTTGCTAGCTCCGCCCTTAGTGTCACTAGGGCGGTAGCATTTTCCCAATTTACCCCTCTAGTCTCTATGTTACCAACAAAGTGGTTATCCCTTAAACGACGTTGGTAGAAAGGGATAAAAGTGGTATTTCCAATGATGAAATTTGTTAGGTTATTAGGTTTGTAATAAAATGTGAGCTTAAGGGCATCGTAGTAAATTCCACTGGAACCCGAGTTTTTGAGCTTAAGGTCATAATGGATAGTGTGGTTGTTATGAGAAGAATTGGTTGCATCCTTAAGGGCATAAATGGTAAAATCTTCAATCGAGCTCACAGGTAAAGCGGTTGAGGGTTGGAGGAGAAGGCAGAGTAAGACCGCGACACTTAAACCTAATGAGAATATACCGCCACAACAACCATCGTGATTAGCCTTTGACATTGAATTGTTTGGATGGTTTAAGAAGGAAATAAAGAAAATGATTAATTTCTAGTTTAGATGAGAATTTGTATTGTAGTATACTTTGATTGTTCTTTGCTAAGAAAAGTGAAATGTTATGATGAGTGAATATATGTCTTAGTTATCGTTATTTATAGTTTCGTAAAGACAAAAAATATATGATAACATGTATATGATTAGGAAAGTGCAATTTGTGAATTTGTCAATTTGAAAAGGTCCATGCAATAATATATAATAAACAAATAAATAAATAATTGAGCTCCTACAAAAATAGATGTAATGGAGTAGTTACTATAAATTCATTATTTTATGCTAGGATTATACATAAATTAAATGTATAAATGTTTGAGTGTTGCACATATTAGTTGTCATTTGTCAAATAAACGTGGAGAAATGCGAGCATTTGTCAAACAAATTGATTAAATTTGGAGTATCTAGGATAGAAAGTTGAGATCGACTGCCATGCACCCCATAATGAACTAGTCAATTGTGATGGGGCTTATTTTAATTTGTTAGTTCCGCTAATTTTTCAAAATGTTTCTGTTTAACCTGGCACATATGTTTAAAGTATGTCAAGGGCAGGTTTTTGGCTTATTATAGCTTTAATATTGATGAAAATTAATTATAAAAAGTTGATATTTGAAAATTATACATTGACATACGATTCTAATAAATAGTTACTCCGTACATTACTACTCCCTCCGTCCCTTAATACAAAGCCTCTTTTTTGTAGCATTTATTACTCACATAATAAAGAGAATGAGATTTTGTATTAAGGGACGGAGGGAGTATAAAATGTTTATGTATAAAGCTTATATTAAAAAGATAAATGGAGCACTTTAAAAAAAATTAAAGATTATTGTTGATGCTTATTAAATTCAAACAAGGAACTAACAACTAATTAACACCATATTTGTTGGAGATTAGAGTGTCGCAAAGGTATGCCCTTAATACTCCGATCCGTAGTACCAACTCATAATAAAGGTCACGCACCAATCACCAAACAGCCTATAATTATGAAGATTAATTACAAACACAATAGGAGAATTAAGTCACATAATAATTACTCAACTCAAAGGCAAGAAAACACAAACTATAATGTGCAATAGATAGAAATTACCTTCATTACAATCGAAGTGAATTACATTTTTGCAACAACGATTCTTCAAAGAAATTGTAGAATTGAATTTGCTAATGTAAACTAGACTAATTAATGTAATTCTAAAATCTTCTAAGGACTGCTATGAAATGGTTATGTGTTTGGGCCTTCTTTGTAATTTTTTGGGCCAACTTTGGCAAAATTTGTAAGATTTTGGGCCAACTTCAAATCTTGCAAATCTTTTACTTCATGTTAGATCCTTGAAAAGGAGGAAGCGAGAAGAATTAGGAATTTTATTTCCAATAACATTCAACTTTTTTAGAGGAATAGATAAGGGATCCTCATTATGCAAGAACGTAATTAGGATAATTCAACTTTTTGTAGTATTTTTCTAACAAAGTACATCCAAGTCTAACTTGATTAATACTTGTATGTAATACTCTGCTCAAATATATAGAGGTGATCATCATCGGTCTGGCCCGCTAGCTTGGTCGGATCCAACCCAAAAATATGACGAGTTTAAACAAGCTCAAAAATGCATTTTAATTACAAGCCCAAATTCGGCCCAAAATAGCCCAAAAATCCATTTTAACTCGACAAGCCCGCTACTTTATTGCGGGTTTGGACATGAGATATCATGTTAAGGCCTAATCCAGCCCAATATTTTTATCACTTCTAACCAATTAGTATTATGTGCACCATGGTGCACCTAGGTGCACCACGACTATACTTTTGAACATTTAGTAAAAAAAATTGAACATTTTACAAAAAATAAACATTTAGTAAAAAGAATATGAACACGTCACAAAAATTGAATATAAACATGCAATTTGAATGTTCATATTTTATCAAGAAATGTTCATTTTGTATACATTAAATGTTCAGTTTATTATTACAAAACTATTGAATTATTACGAGTCAGTTCAAAATTTGTCTGACTCGTAATAATTCAAAAGTTGCGATTGTTCAGATTTTTTTACTAAATGTTCAAAATATTTTATTGTTCATATTTTTTTTACTAAAAGTTCAAAATTATAGACGTGGTGCATTGCAATTGTTCAGTTTTTTTTTTACTAAATGTTCAAAATTGCGATGTTCAGATTTTTTAACTAAATGTTCAAAATTCTTGATTGTTCAGATTTCTTTTACTAAATGTTCAAAAGTATAGGCATGATGCACTGCCATTGTTCAGATTTTTTAATTAAATGTTCAAAATTTGCGATGTTCAGATGTTTTTACTACATGTTCAAAATTTTCAATTGTTTAGATTTTTTTACTAATTGTTCAAAAGTATAGGCGTGGTGCACCTAGAAATAGGTGCACCATGGTGCATCTTAAAATTTGCGACTTCTAACGTCATATCATTTCGTGACACACCAAAAATGCTCTATAACAAATAATACTTGTAAAAACAAGTTACTTAAGTACACCATTGAACTAGGAAAAATAAAATTACAATAAAACAAAAACAATAATTGATGAATACCATCTAATTAATAATCTACCACAAAAGAATAAAAGTCAAAATTCCCAAAATACCCAAGAAATGAAAGTTGCAACACTTACTATTCCTAGCTCCTGACCTAAACTTAACCCCTTTCTTCTTCCTCTTAATCAAAATCCCTTGTTCATCAACGTGCAAATCAGCAAACAACCCGAAACGATGCCGTCGTTTAGTCTTCCAAAACACGATCTTAAACCGAACCGTTGTATTAAGCTCCACCCTAAAAAAAGACGTTGTCGCGGTAGCATTTTCCCATTTTACCCCTCTAGCATCAATGGTACGAATACGATGAGTATTCTTCCCATGCCCTTGGTAGAAAGGGGTAATAGTGTCATTTCCAAGAAGGGTCTTATTAGCTAAGCTAAGATTAAGGGCATCAAAGTAATAAAATGTAAGATTAAGGGCATCATAGTAAACACCCTTATCTTTATTCTCCTTATTATTGAGCTTAAAATCATAACGGATTGTGTGGTTGTTTTTGTAGTAAATGGAATTATTGGCAGTTTTGTTGAGGGCAAAAACGTCAAAATTTTCTATGGAGTAAACAGGGTTTGAAGGCTTAAGATTTAGCCACATAAATAAAGCTGTTAATCCAAGGGTGAATATGAAACTGCAACAACATCTGCAACAGCTGCCTTCTTCGGCTTCCATTTAAGGGTGGTTTTTGCCTTTCGAAAGCGGTTTTGTGGTGGGTTTTTGAGTGGTTTTCCGGTAAGATAAAGAGAGAGAAGTGGTATTTGAAGAGAAGAAAGTGTGAGAGTGAATAGAGTGGTATTGTAGTATATAATTGAGATTGGTGAGTTCGTGTAAATTACAATGAGTCAACGAAGAATGAGACGTTGAATGTAAATAATTAACGCGGTTTAATTTAGTAATTTTTTTAGTTTGATGGAGCCTATGTTTGTGTGTGGATCATAAAAACCCATTTGGGGGGGCCATAAAATATTATGCCTTTTTGGATTATTAAATTTGACTAGTATGTCCTACACTCCCTAGTAGTGGTATCAATGTTTGTATGTAACAAAAGTACTCCATTTATTAATGATGATGAAAGATTGAAAGGTATAATCTATTCGGTTCATTAAGATTGTCTTATTGATTAAAGGAGATGACAATTTTTGTAAATTAGTGTAATAGTGAATTGTCAAGTAATGAACCTAGAAAGTTGAAGATTTTAAAGATTATTATTTTGGATTTTAACGTATAGGAATCTTGCTAAGTGAATACCTCGGTTTACATTTGAGTAGAAGTTCACTTCCCTTTTCCTACTCACAAGTGCATGACTTGTAAAATAAACAAATAAAATAAAAAATAATTAGAATTCTCACTTAAGTATATACAATCGGAAGGATTTGGCCTTATAATGCCAGTGACTAGTATGTCCTACACAGGGGCGGAACCAGGAATTTTATTTAACGGGGGCCAAAGTAAAGGGAACTACGATGACGATAAAAATAATGAACATTTTCACACATCAATTTATTAATCCACATATCACAACAACAAAAATATATTTTATATAAGCAATGAATATAGAGTTATAGAACATATTCCAAAAAAATTACCATAGTACTACATGAAGAAAAACATACCTTATCATTTATCTTATATCATTTTAGTTGTGCTCGTCTCTCTTTCATCATATAAAAAGCATCAATGATGGCATCTTCACTAAGTGTTTCCGCTATCTCCTTTTCTATATACACTATTAAGTAGTCCTTCAAAAAATCGTCCTCCATCTTACTTCGAAGGTTTGTTTTCACTATCTTCATGGCTGAAAAAGCTCTCTCAGTTGTTGCAGTAGATGCTGGAAGAGTTAATACGAGACGAATTAACCTTGAAACAAGAGGATAATCTTTTATTTTTTCTGTAGTCACTAATCCTTGACATAAATCACCAAGAGTAGTTAAGTTCTTCAACACTGGATGAATAGGAATATCAAGCCAATAATGTTGCAATTCATAACTCAAATGATCTTTCTCATGTTCTGTGAAATCAATAGGATAAAAATCTCGAGCTAGCTTGCAAATATGCTCTATATTGAATGACTTGTAACCATCTCTTGGATTCAAGGCCGCACTTAAAATGAGAAGTTCAGTAGCTCGCTCACTAAATCTTGCGTTTAGCTCTTGCAATTGACGATCTATAGCAGCCATAAATATATCAACTCTATAGTGATGTTCCATTGTCACATTGTCTTTTTGTCTTGATTGTTGCCTTATAGATTTAAGCACATCAACATAAGGAGAGTCCATGTCAGGAACTGTAACACCATTTTTCTCACAAAAAACTTTAACATTATGTAGCAAACTCTCCCACCCATCATTCCTTAAAGTTTGAAGTAATGTCTTTGTAGTGCAAACTAAATGCATTGCATTTACAATATCTTGGGTCTTCAATTGTAGTGCTTGACAAAGTCCATCGGTGATGGCCATAATCTCCTTCACAACATGTATGTTAAATACGAATTCAAATGACATTAACAACTTAACTCCATTAAGAGCATCTCCTCTCTGAGCATAAGTTGTTCCTTCACTAGCTATGTTAGCAAGAACTAAGCGAGTAGCACAATACATTCTTAACAAACTAGATATTGACTTGTAATGCGAGCTCCATCTAGTATCACCTGGTCGTTGTAATGTACCGATTTGATTGAGACCTTTTCCCGTCTCAAGCCCCTCAATCTCAACTAGATGTTCAATTTCAGCCAATTGAGTTGCTTGTAACTCGTCATGTCGCTTTGAAGAGCTAGTGACCACATTAACAACAAAAATCAATTGTTGAAAGAAAGTATGAATCTGTGGCACTTCCCTAGATGCAGCAACAAGAGCTAGTTGTAGTTGATGTGCCAAACAATGAATGTAATAGGCATAAGGACACTCCTTCATAAATAAAGCTTGTAACCCATTCCACTCTCCACGCATATTACTTGCACCGTCATACCCTTGACCTCTAATATTTTGAAGGTTAAGGTTATGATGAGACAAGACAGCACAAATTTCCCTTTTTAATGTTTTTGTTGTAGTGTCTTTGACATGGACCAAATCCAAAAATCGCTCTCTTACCCATCCACTTCTATCAACATATCTCACTACTAATGCCATTTGTTCTTTCTTAGAAATGTCCCTAGACTCATCAACAATCAAACAAAACTTTGCATCACCAATTTCCTCACGTATACTATTTTGCACTTTTCTTGCATAAACATGTAGAATCTCCTTTTGGATTAGTGGAGAAGTGTATTTGGCATTCTTTGGGGCATTATCCAAAATAACCGAATCAACATCTTTATTATATGATGCTAAAAGTTCCCTTGATTAATTGAACTAGAACGTTCATCATGCCCTCTAAATGCACAAGCTTGGAAAGTTAACCATTTAACAGCATCTATTGATGTCTTAAGGCTTAAACGATTCTTGACAATCTCCTCTGCAGTTACTTTCTCTACTACTTTCTCAATGTGAGCGGATTGATTTTTGAGATTAAAATAACACTTTGTTGAAAAGTTATGAGCAGAATTGGAATCTTTCCCCATGTGACACAAAAATGCACAATCCTTCCCATTATTTACTTTCTTCCAATTTTTAAAGCCCTTCACTGTGAATGTATCCGAACCACATCTTCCAAGAGGCTTTTTAGCAAAAAGAAAGCAATAGAAACAATAAGCAGCATCCATTGTGGGAGAATACTCTAACCAAGGAAACTTCACAAACCAACTTTTTTGGAACCTACGTGGGTGTTTTTCGGAACCAGAGTATGGATAATTATCAAGTTTAGGTTGATATGGCCCAAAATCAATGTAAGATCTCCTAATCAAATCTTTTTCATCTGAATCATATGTCTCAATTTGCTTACGCAACCCAGGATCACGCATTAAAAAATCAAGACCAATACCTTCTTCATTAGGCATTTGCTCATCAACATTGTCATTATTAATATTACGTTCGACTTCTTCATTATCAATGATAATTGGCTGATTTGGCTCAACAACAGGTATATCTTCATCACCCCTGCCCTTTTTTTGTGGAAGAAAATAAGAAGTGATAGTCCTCTTTGTCATTCCTAAATTACAAAAATTAACAGCAAAAAAAGCATAATCAAATCTAATGATTATTGGGCAATATATCAAGTATAATTGCAATTGTATTAATTATTCTAATTATTCACAATTTTCATATAATTGTTTGGATTTACACATTTACTGATTTACATATACAATTAGAGTATTAAACCCCAAAATTTCTAATTCAAAATCTCACTCTAACTATTTATTCAACACACTAAACCTGTAATTAATATGAAAATTGAAGTATACAAATAAGATTAAGTAGAAATTGATAATTAAATTACCTGAATTAAGGAAAATCAACAATAGCAAGCAAGAAACTTCAATGGTGATATGTACTGTTTGTTTCGTCACTTTGGGGGTTTTCACTGCTTTCCTTTTGTAATTTTGTGTTGAAGTGAATTGTAATGTTTGCAAGTTGTTATTTTTTTATTAGATAATTCTTTTATCTTATATTTTTATTTAGTTGCAATATTTATATTTTGTCTTATCTAACAATATAATATAGTAGAATCTAGAAATATCAAGTACCAAACTCATCACATGCGTTAATATTAGTTCATAAAGTGTGAGTTTGGTTTTGTATTAATTTTTTTTTATTTGTTTGGCGGGGGCCACATGAATTTTTTATACTTTTACTTGTACTAAAATCCAAATATTACCAATGTAAAGCAATTCACTTGAGGGGGGCCTTGGCCCCCTTTGGCCCCTACTATCTTCCGCCCCTGGTCCTACACTTCCTAGTGGTGGTATCAATGTTTGTATGTAACAATGTACACTCCTTATCAATGATGATGAAAGGTATATTCTTTTCGCTTATTAAGATTGTCTCAAATGAACATACGAGTACTAAGTTAAAAGAGACAATTATTTTAAAATAAAGCAATCTTATTAAGATATTGTAATGGTGTATTATCAAGTAATGTACACAGCATGAAAATTGAATATTGTTGGGGATTTTGTGTTTCCAAGGGTCACAAAGAAATTGCAAATGAAATTAGCGGAAAAAAATCTTTGAGGCGTGAACGGGATCATGTTCCCAAAATTATAATTCTGGCCCTATACTACAACCGGGTACAAAATTATAATTCTGGCCCTATACTAAAACCGGGTATCACGAAATTTACTCAGGTTATACAACGAAAAACAATTGCAATCACAAGTAGGATGATTACAATATAATGTAAATAAGATTTTGTGATTTGTGATGATGAACAATAACTTGCAAAAGGTTTCATGAAAATGAGAATAAACTGATTTCTTGAAGTTTCTTTCATCAATATGAACTATCATATTCATATCAAGAGCAATAAACCAAGCAAAACTGGAAAATAACCGTCAAAATTGCCCCCCGCGCCCTGTCGAGCGAGAGAAACTAAGCAACCCAGAAAAATTTGGGTGCTCTAGCTCCCTGCTGAGCGATGACAACGCTTAATTTTTCTTCGCTCTCACGCCCTACTAGGCAAAGACCCGCCCTGCCAGGCACACCACCGGGCAGACTACAGGACGAAAGAACACTTCTCTAAACCGAGATACAAATTGCTCTATTACTTGTTTAATTGACTTGTAACACCCTTAGCCTAAGCAATTTAATCAAACACAAAAATATTAGTCACAATACTAATCAACAAAGATTTCAAAGCTTATTATTTCTGATTCTGAAAGTAGGATTGGAGGGTTTTAATGTTGCCAAGTTAATCAGTAAAAGCCCCCTTATTAGCTTTCCTTTCTTTCATGTGCATGACTCATAATTACTTAATCAAAAACTGATACTCTCACCTCAAAGTATTTACAACTGAATCCAACCTTATGTAATTATGCATTCTTCGACCTAATATGTTCATACCTTTAGTTTCTCTCTCTCTCTAGAAGCGCAGTCATCGGAGACTAACCTCATCACACTAGTAGAAAAAAAAAAAAAGGCACCGCTCAATGGCCACCGATTTTCGAAAACCGGTGGCGTAAAAATTGGGCAGGATTATATATATTTAAATTGCCACCGGTGCAATCCGAACCGATGGCATAAATGGTAAAGGCCACCGGTTTTGAACCGGTGGTTTTGTTAAAAAAAAACGTGCCTCATCTCTACTTCTCTCTTCTCGTACTCTCTCCTTTGTTTTCTCTCTCTTCTTGATTTCTCCGTCTCCTCTCTCTTCTCTCTGCTCAAACCCTCCTTTCTCTCTCTTCACTTGCCTCCTCTTGCTCCATCTACCGCCGCCCCATCTACCGCCACTCCACTCTTTCTTTCTTTCACTTCTCTCTTGGCACCACTACTAGGGAAATTTAGTATTTGAGGATGACGGCGGTGGTGAATGTTGTCGCCACCATCGTAATTGACGATCTTTTTATTTACCAGTGCCAGATCTTTGCAGATGTGGTGGAATTCTTCACAAAGGTATGTGCTCTTCGATTTGAGATCTAGGGTTTCTGATTTTTATTTACTTTTTTGTGATTAATGATGAACAATTGAAATGAATTGGGCGTTTGATTGAATTAGTTGGGGTTATGTTGTGATGAGGTTGATGAACATGTTGTTCTCTTCACGGCGCCAAGGTGATTATGGTGACGGTGGTCGCGATCCGCCAGCCCACTCCATCTCTCTATCTCTTCTTGAGTCCTCTGCTTAAATCCGAGAATAAGGTACTTGCATTTGTAATTTTTTCGATTGTTTTCGATTTAATTTTTTTTTTGAATTGTGTTTTTAGGGTTAGGATCTGGTTCAGATCGGGCTTCAATTTACTGAAATTCTGTTTTTTTTTTTTTGGTTTGAATTGATTTGGAATTGAATAGGTTGTTGTGTTAACGTGTGACAGACATGTTTCGATTTTTTATGGAATTTTTCTGGGTGTTTTTGAGTGTTTAGTGGGTTTTTTTGGGGGTATTTACAACTGATAATATGAATTTTGATTTTGATTTCGATTTCATTGAGTTATAAGGTTATATTTTGGATTTTGTGATGTGGTTGTTGTGTTTGGGTTTGAGTTTGTATGTGATGTTTGATTTTGAGTTCGATTTTGTCCCTCTTGTTAGCTAATAATAGTAAGTTACATGAATGGGATTAAATTGGAATCGGGAGTAAAGGGGATTATGGGTTTGATTGGGTTTTAGTTGTTAGATCTGATCCAGGAGGAGTTATGGTCTGTTATGTTTTGAGAACAAAGATTGGGTTTGTGGATGTTGTTTAACTGTTTGTAGTTTAATCTTTGATGGGTTTTGATGCTTATATATTTTTGATTTCTGGGTGATTGTAGAAAACGGAGGGAAAGATGAAAGTGTGTCTCAACCGAGTTTCACTGAGTTCAAATTGGACGAGATAAGAGCTGCTGCTTCTGGGTTTTCTTATTAATTACTGTTCATATATTTAAGGTCTTATTTCTTGTCCACACCATATACATAAAGGGTTCAAATGTTCAAATTGGTGTTAAGGTTATAAATTACTGCTCATGTTAATTTTATTTTAGATGGATTTTTGTAAAGGATTGAATTAGAATTAGATTTTGCTTTTTTTAAAAAAAATAAATTTATTATTGTTATTATGATTGAGTATCTGGTAAATTATTGAATGATTGGTGTTTTAAGGTTAGAATTTGCGAGCTTCCATTTCATCCAATTAGTTCGGAGGTTATTGGAGGAGTTGGTGGAATGTAAGTTTTTATTTAACCTTTTAATGTAATTTCATTTTTAAATATGTGATATCTGATATAATTTAGATTATTGTTGCTTTTTGTTTAGCTTTTGATTTGGTGCAACTGTGATCTTGGTTGTTGAAATTGTAATACTTTTGGTGTTTCGAATTGGAAGTGCTTGTTTGGTAACTATCATTTTTGTTTGTATTGTGATATTTGTAAGTGCATATTTTGTGAATTCTAAGTGCAGTTCTTTTATTATTGCTTGATCTGTTTTTCTATTTATTTTTTTTATTTTTTTTTGGTGATTTGTTTCATAAGTGTATATCTATGCTTCACTTATTGTGGAGATTGATTCCATAGTAATTAAAAATATCATAGTGTTTTTTTATTCAATTAGTTGTTGAAGAGTTTAAATAGAGAAAGAAAATAGATTCTATCACTAATCTTACATTTATTTGGTGCTATTCTTATTGGTCTCTTTTTCTGTGTGTTTCTTCTTTGCAGGAAAAGTAATTTTCGAGGCGTGTGCTTAATAAGGACATGTTTAGTTTCAATTTTGTTTCATAATTTTTTTTTATTGTTAATTTGTGATTGCAATTTCTGATTGTTCTGGTGCATCTGTTGCTGCAACTGCTGCCTTGCAGGGTGCTGCTTCTGTGTTGCTGCTGTATCTGTGCTACCATGTTGTTGTTGCTTCTGTCTTGTGCTTGTAATGTATCAATAATTCTTTTCCAACAGCATCTATAGAGTTTCTAATTTTGCTATGGCCATGTGATCAGATATTTCCTTGTTTATTGTGATTGAAGGTTGGTAGTATAATAACTATGTGCACAGTCAACACGTTATGCTGTATCGATGTCTCTGATCTCTCTGTCACATTCCTCTTTGCCTTGTCATACTAGGTAATGACAAGGCAAAACATGGTTTTTATCTTCTAATAGGCATAATGGAAGTGAGTGACTCTAGGTTTCATGGTGTAGAACTTGTTATCACACATAATTTGTAGTTTTTTGAAGTTATCCAAAGTTGCTTTCTTTGGAGTTTGCCAAGGAAATAGCTAAATATATGGCCAAAAACATATTCGAATGCACATTGGTGACATATGAGTTGTAGCCTAAACCTCTTAACTTGACTGGAATGTTTTTTGTAGGAGACATTTGAGAAAGAGAATGTTACTATTTAGAGATATTTAGATTATGCATATAGTAGTCTCTCCAAATATTTGAGAGTGTTTCTCAGTGTAAAGAATTCCAATTTGGTTTCATTTATCTTATGTTCTCTTGCTAAGATACATACGAGTATAAAAGAGGAAGGCATTATTAAGAAAAGGAGGCTTTTATTAGTGAAATTGGAGTTCCAGAGTGCCACATATCTTGTGGAACCATTCTTATGTACCTACCTGTTTTGACATGGAAATATGTGTGAACAGTTCAACTTAAGGTGTGCTTGATCATATTAATGGGGAATTATTTATCTTGCTAACCCATGTTGCTTTTTATTTCACAACTATCGAAATATATCTGTATGGTGGTAGGACCATATGCTTTTAATACAAATGTAATGATTTATATCTGAAACATGGTCCAGCAGATGTTATGATGTGGACATTATTGTATTGATTAGTAGACATTTGTTGAAGGGTATTAGTTCTTGTTGCCATCACTGATTAGCTAATTTAAAGATTATTATCTTGGTCCCATCCCACATTATTTCTCAAGAATATTACAGGTTTAGTTTCAATTTTGTTTTTTTATACATTGTTAATTTCTAATTGCAATTTCTGATTGTTTTGGTGCAGCTACTGCCTCGTAAGGCTGCTGCTGCTGTATCTGTGCTGCCGTGTTGCTGCTGCTTCTGTGTTGCAGCTGCTTCTATGCTGCCGTGTAACTTTGTATTTTATTTTATTTTTTGGACGAAAATTGTAATATTACAACATATTTTTTATAAAAAAATATGTAAGTTTATATATATATTAGTGTTTATACATCAATTTAAGTGAAAAAATGCAAAAAAAAAAAAAAAAAAAAAAAAATTGCCATTAAAGGCACCGGTTCTGAGCAAGAACCGGTGCCAATAACCCTTACAAAAAAAAAGCGGGAAAGGTGTTGCCACCGGTTAACCGGTGGCAATACTAGTTTTTGCCACCGATTTTGAATCGGTGGCCTTGAGTCTGTTTATTTCCACCCCCTAAATGCCCACCGGTTCAAAACTGGTGGCATAGGGGGGTTTTGAACCGGTGGCCAAATGATATTTTCTACTAGTGTCACCCGTGGTGATAAGGGCTCCGGGAACTCACTTCCGGCGAGAGCGGGCGTTCTTTCATCTTCATTAGTTTGTTTTTTCATCCTAGTGCAGAGGTTTTAGCTAACTCAAGTATTTTCTCAAATTGTCAAGTTTAAGCCTAGGAATTTTTGTTTTATTCTCAAAAGTAGGTAGTTGTCTAAGACAATGGATTTAACTTCAGAAATGGATGTGGAATCAACGGAGGAACTAGATTTAGTTCACAAATCAGTTAAAAAGTTAAATGAGCAGCATACTCAAACAAGTTCGAGCTTCCCCCAACCTGAATCCCATACTCCTGAAGTAACTTCAGTGGATAAGGAAAGGGACACGATCATGGAGGAGGAGGTACAGCCACAACTCGACAGGGAGACTAATTGTAACCCCATAGTTACTGGTATGGACCCAGGACAAAGTGACAGGGCAATTGGACAGAATCAACTAGCAGTCAAGGTGACCAGTTTCAGGGAGGCAGTGGTTAAGTCATCGCAGTGGTTTGCTAAGGCTAGGAAAATCATGATTAACACATTGGAATGGGAGGACGAAGAGGAGGATAGCACGGTGCATGAAAACTCAGTTAGGTTCCCAAAAGAAAAAAAAATTAAACAATTGCGAAAGCCATGGGAGCTAACATTAATAGGAAAATGTTTGGGAATTAACGTTCGAGCCGAGTTCATAACACAAAGAGTAAATCGTATGTGGAATCCTAAAGGAGTATGAGAAATAATTGAGATGGATAAAGGTGTTTATCTGTTCAGGTTCAGTTTACAAGATGACTTAGAGAAAGCTTTGTTCGGGGGTCCTTGGTTCATCCTTGATCACTACCTCATGTTATCCAAATGGAGACCGAATTTTAGGCCATCAACAGAAAGTTTCCGTACTATGTCAATATGGATTCGATTTCCAGAATTTCCGGTAGAATATTATGATAAAGAGGCCTTGTACGAAATTGCAGGGGTGGTAGGCAAGCCAGTTCGAGTGGATTACTCAACAGACAAAATAAGCAAGTGCAGGTACGCCCGAGTCTGTATCGAAATTGAGCTCAACAAACCCCTAATTACAAGGGTATGGGTAGGAAGAGCATGGCAGAAAGTTGAGTATGAGAAATTCACCTCCTTTGCTTCCAATGTGGACGAATTGGACACACCAAGGAACACTTCCAAGACAACGAAAAGAAGGAGGTGGCTAATCCAAGCAGGGTCACTTTGTTAGGGGTTAGCACGCCATTGCTGGCTGAAGCACATGAAGCGGAAAATATAAAGGAAGCAATAAACAAAGAGGGAGACAAGGTAGATAGACCTTCAGAAGAAACAATCTTGCAGCAAGACAAAGAAACAAGTAAGGAGTCAACAGAGTATGGGCCTTGGATTTTGGCAGCTTCAAGAAAGAAAATTTTTAAAAAAGATGAAAAGGGCAGATTTGGGAAAGGGGAAGGAAATCAAAGGATCACCAAAGAAGATAAAAAGAAGAAATATGGGGAACCATCAAGCCGCCAACAACATCATAGGAACACTCAATGGAATGTTTTACCCATAGAAGAAGAAGCAAATCTGGAAAAAAGCAAGAATATTGGGAAGGACAAAATTACAGCTTTCTACTCTCAGAAATTAAATACCAGAGAAAGAACAACTCCCTCGAAAACCATGAATAATCACTACAAAAAAACAGCTTAATTGCGACGGAAAAATTCCGTTGGAACCACCCTATTTTCCGTCGGAAATCGTGTTTCCGACGGAATTCCGTCGTAACATGTCGTCGGAATAGTATTTGTCGGAAAATCAACCTTTTCCGACGGAATTTCCGTCGTAAACACTTTTTCGACGGAAATTCCGACGGATTTAAGCATCGGAAGAGGTTTTCAAGGTATGGAAAAGTCGGAAATTCCCGACGGAAATTCCGTCGAAAAATCCTTTTTAAAAAACAAAAAAAAAGCCCGCACCACCCCCCACCACCAATAGCCCCCACCGCTAAACCGCCACCTCCACCGCAACAAATTAAATACACAAACTCCTCAAATATTCCCCACAACCACCACCTACCACCCTAAGCGAACCACCACCGACCACCTACACTAAAACTAATCTAGATCCACCCAACACTTAAAACCAACCCTCACCCACCCACCCACCTAAAACCGACCAGACACTGCACCCACACCAAAAACCAACCAGACACACTGCACCCACCCACACGGAATTCCGAACACTAACCAAAACCCCACCAAACCCATACCCAGATCCAAGCACCTAAAACACCCAAACCCTGACCTAGATCTACACCACCGCCACCGACAAGTCCACCACCACCACCGCAATTCAACCACAATTCACTATAAAATTAAAAAAAATCTCAAAAAACAAAAATAAGTAAGAAAAAAGGTACATACCTTGAATTTCACCCAAAAAACCCCAAAATTGGCTCGAATTTGGGTTTTAAAGGTCAAATTCGAACCTGAAAACTCTAGATCTAAAGTTTTCAGGGTCGAATTTGACATGAAAAACCATTTATTTCTAAAAATTGGCGAGAAATCGACTTGAACACCACCAACCAAACTTACCGGCGTCTTGAACACCACCAAACCAAACTCTTCGGCATCATGAACACCACCTACCAAGAACAAAAGAAAGTAAGAGAAGAGGAGAGGCCGACAATGGAGAAAAAGAGAACAGAAAGGAGAGAGAAGAAGAAGAGAAAGGAAAACGAGAAGGAGAGGAAGCAGAGAGAGAATAAGAGGAGATAGGAAGCAGAGAAGAGGAAGGAGAGAGAATAAGAGGAGAGCGGCGCATCAGGGAGAAGGAGGAAGGAGAGAGAAGGAGGAGAAAAGGATAGGAGGAAAGAGAGTGGAACCGTGATATTTTAGGTTTCCTCTAAAGGAGTTTTTTAAAGGTTTTTTTTTAAAAATTAATTTTCGATGGAATTTCCGTCGTAAATTTACGACGGAATTAAATCCGTCGGAAATAGTACTGTACGACGGAAAATTCCGTCACAAAAGTCGAAATTTCCGACAGATTTCCGACGAACTTTTAGAATTCGTCGGAAATATCCGACGGAATAAAAATCCGTCGTAAATTTCGACTTTTGCGACGGAGTTTTATGTCCGTCGGAACGATTTCGTCGCTATTTGTCTGTTTTCTTGTAGTGAATGAAGGCAATAAGTTCCCTAGGACGGCCTCACCTACTCACCCTATTCAAAACCCTACTTCTTTGCCTTCTCCCATTCAATCAATCAATCCTATCTCTGTTCAACCTATCCACCAACCTTCGACACCTCTGAACTCACCTGATCTTCCAAGCAATTATGGAGAATTTTCGAAAGAATCAGAAAGGGCAAACATTCCCCCGAAACCCCCTGCATCTACCATCAATGATCAATCTCAATCAACCCCCCCCAAACATCCACTTCAATTATGCCTCGCCAGTTGACCAGAACACTCAATTCCCCTTACATAGCCCCAACCATTTTACCACAGACTCCAACACAAACCCAAACCAAAATCTTGCAGCCTTCTTCTCTATGCCGGGTCTCACCGCCGTCTCAAACCCATCACCTATTTCCAACCGTACCGACCCCAACACTCTGGCCAGTATTAGCATCGAGGACCCTTCAGGAGGAGTGTCTCAATGTAATGAAGGAAGGGCTGAAGCTAATACTAGCACATCACGTGTTCCCATCCCAACCAGACTACGGGTCGGAACTCTTTTCGCTCGAAATTCCATCAAAAAACCCCCCGAACTTCCCTATACAATTCGCAAACGTCCACATAAATATAATGGAACCGTCAAACCTCCTTGTTGTGCTAATTCCACAGAAGGAAGTAGTGGGAGCATCGCTAACTTTCAATTTTGTTCCAACGGGAAACCTTGTTCCGGAGATCAAATTGAATGCATCGCCCCTGTCGATGGAGGATGTTTGGGCAATGGAGAAGTTACATCTATGGAGGGATTGGATGGATGCCCTTCCACAGATGAATGAAAGAGCGAAAAGACTTGGAATTTTTCCACCCTTCACAATTCCTTCGGTCGATATGAAGATCATTTTATGGAACGTTAGAGGGGCGGCTAGTAAGGAATTTATTTCCCATGCTAGGGAAATAATAAACAATCATAATCCTGATGTGTTTATTTTACTAGAAACCAAAGCCACCAACCAATGTGCTGAATATACGGTTAAAAAATTAGGCTTCCAAGAGCATAGAACTATTGAAGCAGAGGGACTGAAGGGGGGAATTCGGGTTATGTGGAATTGCCCTGCGTCTCTAGTGGATTTTGTCACTGAGCCGCCGCATGTTTTTCATGCCCTCTTCAAATTTTCTCCAACTACGGAGGAAACCCTAATCACAGGAATTCATGCACCAACAACAACTGCAGCTAAAAATAATTTATGGAATGCAATGAAAGATAGCATTCCTCCTTCTACTACGCCTCGACTTGTTATTGGTGACATGAATGAAATCACTCGCCAATTAGAGAAAGTGGGAGGGCGACCTATCACCAATAGTCAAGGTCAAGTGTATGCAGAATGGGTTGAAAGGGAGGGTCTCATTGACCTAAATTTCAATGGTCCGAAGTTTACTTGGAGTAATGGTCAAGAAGGCTTAAACTTGATAAGAGAAAGACTTGACAAGGCTTTAGCAAATGCAAAATGGATGGAAGAGCACCCTAATACTCAGGTAATTCACCTTCCTAGAACTTATTCCGATCACTGCCCCATTGTAGTTGATTCTAATCGTCCTCTTTCAATTAAAGGTAATTACCCATTTAGATGTAAAGAAGCTTGGATTCAAAACCCTAATTTCCATGACTTCTTTAACTATGCGTGGGGATTGGGAAATAATGAGTTCATACGATCAAAAAATTGCTTTATTAAGGAGGTTAAAAGCTGGCATGCAAATGTTTTTAACTCATCCCTTAAACATAAAAAGCTCCTTTTTGCTCGTATAGAAGGCATTCAAAGAGCTCTTTGTAATAGATACTCTAGGTTCCTAGTTAATCTGGAAAAAGATCTGCTTAATCAGCTAAATGAAATTCTTAAAATTGAACGAATCTCTTGGGCTCAAAAAGCGGGGGTTGATTGGCGTAAATACGGGGATTGGAACACGAAATACTTTCACATTTTGGCTAGGGTTAAAAATAATAGAGGCAAAATTGTGAGCCTTAAAAATGATGAAGGGGTATGGGTGACTGACCAAAAGGACTTAGAAATAATGTGTGTTAATTATTTCAAAAATATTTTCACCTCCTCGCAAAGGTCACAGCCTAGATGTGTCAATTTCCTGCCAAATTCGACCATTAGTGAAGCTGATAATCGATTATTAAGCAGCAATGTTTTGGATTTGGAAATATTGGAAGCTTTGAAAGCTATGGCTCCCATGAAGAGCCCAGGGCCAGACGGTATACAACCAATTTTTTAAACAAAATATTGGGATACGGTCAAAGCCTCGGTCACTTCATTAATTTTCTCTTGTTTTGTGTCTGGTAATATTCCTAAAGAGATAAACGAATCTTACATCGCCTTAATCCCAAAAAACTCTCAACCTTCTAGCATGAAGGAATTAAGACCGATTGGGCTGTGTAATTCAATTTACAAATTAATCACGAAAATTAACTCTAATAGAATAAAACCAGTCCTAGGGGAACTTGTTAATCCCGTTCAATCTAGCTTTGTGGAAGGTAGAACCATTGATGAAAACATTTTAGTTATTAAAGAAGTCGCTCATCTTTTCAAAAAAGCTAGTAAAAGAAAATTAATGGCCTTCAAAATTGACATTTCTAAAGCCTATGACAGTTTGGAATGGGGCTTTATCCGAGAAACTTTAATGGGTATGAATTTCCCGGAGAAGCTTGTCAAACTTATTTTAAATTGCATTACTACTCCATCTATTTCCATTCTTTGGAATGGCAATATTACGGAGAGTTTTACCCCCATCCAGGGGAATTAGACAAGGTGACCCCCTCTCATCTTACATTTTTGTTCTATGCCTTGAGAGACTTTCTCTTATGATAGAACAAAAAGTAGGACAAGGCCTTTGGCATCCTATTAAAATAGGGGATGAAGTGAGTCTTTCTCACCTTTTTTATGCAGATGACGTTTTCCTTTTTGGAAAAGCCTCTATTGAAAATGTGGAAGTCATAAAAGAAATCCTTTTAGAGTTTGGCAATAAGTCGGGCCTTTTCATAAGTCCAACCAAGTCCAAAATTATTTTCCCTCCCAAAATGAGCCTCTCTCTCAAACTAACCATCCTTAATGCTACTAGTATTAAAGGATCTCCTTCCTTTGGAAAATATTTGGGTATCAATATAAGTCCTAATTAAAAAGGCTGATTATGTCGATCTCCTTTCTAAGACTAAGGACAGAATTAAAGGATGGCAAGCTAAATTCCTTAACATGGCGGGTAGGAATACCTTGATCAAATCGGTTCTCAATTCATATCCTCTTTACGCCATGCAAACTACCCTCATTCCTTGTGCTATTCTTGATGACCTTGAAAAGAGTTGTAGAAGATTCCTTTGGAACAAGGTTGATAGATCCCACTACCTTTCTAGGACTAGTTGGGACAAAATTTGCCTTCCTTTGAGCTTGGGGGGGGGGGGGGGGGGGGGGGGGGGGCTTGGCATTAGAAAGTTAAGGTTTTGGAATATAGCTTTTATGGCTAAATTAGGGTGGAGAATTATTACCGATCCTAACAAACTTTGGGTAAGAATTCTCAAGGCTAGGTATTTCAAACACTCATCTTTTTTAAATAGCTTCCCTAAACATTCTGATTCCCCCCTTTGGAAAGACATTCTAAGGGGCAAGGATCTCCTCCTAAAAGGGATTTCTTACAGAATTGGAGATGGGGAGGATATAATTAAGCCTTTGGTACCACCATTGGGTGGGAGAGAAACCTATTTACCTCTTGCTTGATACTCCTATTCCAAACTCTTTCGCTCCTTGGACAGTCAGCAGGGTCATAAGGGTTGCTAGGTGGGATCTTGGGAGGGTTAAGCATATAATTCCAGATCACATTTGTAATCTCATTGAGTGTATTCCCCTACCATCGATTGCTTCAGTTAAAGATACTATTTGTTGGGGAAAAGAAAAAAATGGCCATTTTACAATAAAAAGTGCTTACAGACTAGCTTCGAACTTCACTTCTCACCCTTCTTTTATCCCGATTAATTGGGCTAGCATTTGGCGCATTAATTCCCCCTACAAATATAAAATGCTCACTAGGAATGCTTGTCACCAAATCCTTCCCACTGCCACAATCCTAAGTCAAAAAATAGCTAACTTCAACCCAATTTGCACTCGTTGCGAGCTTGGTAATGAAACCCATCTTCACACCTTCAGGGACTGCATCAATTCTAAAGTGTTGTGGTCTCGGATTCTGGAAAGAAATAAGCTTGATACTGACTTTTGTTATCACACATTTTATAATTCAAATTGGGAAGATTGGATACATTACAATCTTAAGCTTAGTGATAATTGGAAAACCATATATGTTGTTGCGTTATGGCATATGTGGAAAGCCAGAAATCAAGTAGTTTTTCGTCTTGCTATGGCACATCCCATTACAATGTATAACAGGTTTATGGCGGATTTGGTGGCCACTCTTAATACTTTCCAGGACAAGGGCAAAAGACAAGGAGAGATCAAACAAAACATTCATTGGGAAAGACCAGCTAGTGGTTCAGCAAAGCTCAACATTGATGGTGCATGGAGAAGCGAAGAAAATGCAGGGGCAGGAGCTGTTATTCGTGACTTATATGCTGGCTGGATGGTAAGAGGCTCATGGAAATTCAAGGCCAGGAACCCAGAAGAGGCAGAATTGTTGGCTATCAAGGGGGGAATGGAACTAGCAATAAAGGAAGAGCTTAGAAAGGTCACTGTGGAAACGGACGCCCAATCACTCAAGAGTACCACCATTGAACACATTGATAAACAGGAGAGGCATGAACTTGCTGCTATCTTAAGTGACATAGGGGAGCTGCTCAAGGGGCCTTGCAAATTTGATTTCAAGTATATTAGAAGGGAAGCTAACACAGTAGCCCACAGACTAGCGCAACTGGCGTTCGTGATGGAAGAGGAGATCATCTTGCACAATTCGGTTCCTGCTTTTGTGAAGAATGCTTATGAAATCGATATGGTGGAGAGTTGTATCTGATTGGTTTGGTCTCATTTATTGTGATTTTCAAAATTGTAAGGAGATAACTTGGAACTCCTGTAGTATTTGGCCTTCTATGTCGGTTGTAGTTTATTTTGCTCAAGCTAACTCTTGGACTTGGTATTTTCTGATGGTTTGATTAAGTAATATATGATTTCCTTTTTTAAAAAACTGAATCCAACCTTACAACGTCAAAGTGAATTCCCAACTAACTATACCAAGTTTTACTTGGAATTTATCCCCCTATATAAAAAGCACATTACCAAAATAAAAATGGAGATAATTTTTTATGCTATGAAAAAATAGTATAAAAATACATTATCAATAAGTACTCTTACAAAATAAGTGGAGGTGATTTTCTATGTAAAAATGAAATAAAACTCAATATAAAATGGGTAATTTTTTCATACTTTCTATTTTGGGTTAATCATTAATCATATCAACAGGAAAGAATGAAAAGCTAAACTACACGTAGCATTCTATGAATTAGCCGATTTCGTGTAGGTTTCTAAGAACATAACCAGAAACAAGACTAAGATGATAGAACTTAGAAACCACTTAGCCGTGTGGGGCTATGGTTGTTTTGAGAATTGGGTTACGCATCCTATGGTAGCCCTCAAAACTCTTATGAATCAATTACATAATTTTCCGCCACTTTTTTCTTTCCAATTTTTTTCTTTTTTATACAAAATTTTCATTAATATTATTTTATATATCCTATGATATTTAACTTTCAATTTGGCAATTATATACGAAATATATTCTATATGCATATCTTTCATATTTTTTATAATAGGTATTTTTGTATAATAAACAAACACATAATAAGGTAATATATTAGAATAATAAAATGTACTACTCCCGTACTTCGTATCATTCTACAACGTATTTTTTCTTTGAAAGTTTTTTTTGCTCTAACCAGGATTTGATACTTTAACTATTATTATATATTTATTGATTTTTTTTATTTTTTTATAATACTCCCTTCGTCCCCTTTTGATAGTCCCTTATGAACATTTTTCACGAGAATTAATAAGCATAAATAAGAATAGTAAAAGTACATTGAAAAAGTAAATTGACATTGGGTATGAAAAAAAGTTGAAAGAGAGAAAATAACAAAAGTACATGTAAAAATAAAATTTACCTAGAAAATTTAAATTGCACAAATATTGTTGCAAATTGGAGAAAATATTGGTAAAAATTAATATTAATGGTTGTTGGAAAAAGCAAATGGGGTGAACATTTTGGGACTAAAATTTGCCCATAATGGACTATCATTTGGGGACGGAGGGAGTAATAACATTAAAATTCAATAACTATAAACACAAATATAAAACAAAATGAAAAAAAAATCATGATTATTATTTTTTATAAAAATTAGTTAATTAAATTTGTTAAACATTGTGTCAGTTATAATATGCTATAAAATATTGTGCCGGTCAAAACATGCCAACAAAATAGGGACATATGAGTATATAATTACATTGCACGGGTTATAATTATAAATTACATTCTCATGTAAAACACTATAATCATTAAATTTTTGTTTTTTTTTTAATGTTTAATAATCAATAACTTTTGATAACAATATAATATTAATTCAAGTTTTTTTTTTTTTGAAAAGAAATTCAAGTATTTGTTTCAATTAAAAATATTGTTTTTTTTTTTTTGAAAAAAAAAAAATTATTGTTGTATTAACATTATAATTTCCTGATTCATAATTTGATTAAGTAAAAATCGTGCATTGCACGGGATTTAAACTAGTTTGAGTATATTAGCAAACTCAGAATTACACATGATTGTTCTATATTTAAGAACATTAGTAGACGTGACGATTGCTAGTTCAAGCCAAGCAAACTGGCCTCTGGGAACGGGGAACCGTAGCCTATCTAACCCACAACAGCAGATGTCTGTGAGCATCAGTACACAACACCAGGACTTGCAAATTTCTGCAAATTATTCCTACGTATCACCTAAGTTTCGCCTAAGTTTCTGCAAATTATTCATTACATTAAAACCAGCCAAATAATAGATATCTAAGTCTTGAAGATCAAGCAGGCTCAGTCTCACACTATCAACAGATTAAATATAATAAAAAGATGGCTTCCCCAACTGCTCTCAACAATAAACCCACGCATGACACAGAGCAACAATACGAAGACATAAAACCCCTCAGAACAGTCCAATAATAATACACTAAATATCCAATAGTGTGTATCAACAAACTAATTCATCCAAATATGACTTGCAGACTGCTAAGAAAAAGATGAAGTGCATTGACAACAGATGAAAATTCTGCGAAAACCATACATATATGACATATTGGAGAAAGTTATCAAGAACTAACTTGAGGAACAAAGACAACATCCCCAGTAGTTCTGGATCCAGTTGAAACATGCACATTCAATGATAAAATTCTGCTTCAACAGATAAAATCATAGAGTACAGGGAAGTTCTCCAATGATGGGGGTTCCCATGGAGATGCAGCAAGAAAATACACTCCCAGATCAAGAAATGTTACTGTCAAACAGTGAAACAGCTAATAACATATCATGCAAGAAAATTACCAACAAACATCAATGAACACCAAGCTAGCTATAGTGTGTAGAAAACTCAGATTTATGACATGATACACAGTTACCAAAGAGAAGCATACAACAGCAACAATAACACACTGAACAAAACATCTAGTTCTTGTTCACAAATCCAACACAAGATGATCTAACATTACCAACCAGTATTACCTGCATTCTTGAAATATTTACGCAGGTCGGTTAGTTTTCACTCCATGGTTGAATAGTCGAGCCTCACATTATTCTGAATATTCATTAAATATAAAGTAACAACCAAAAAAAACAAACCATACTGAACCCCTGAATAACAGCAACCCATATCCAGCAAAAAATTATCATTGACATACATGCAAAGACAACAAATGCACAGGCAAACATCAACCCACGCCTACATCTAGGAAAGTAGAATATACATCATCCTTGCTGTCAAGCACAGTACTTAGACTACAGTCAAAAGAGCTCATCAATTAGATGTTCATTACCACCAACCTAAGGATTAGGAACAAATCTAAGAAGTCCAAAGAAGCAATAGAATAAATGGAGTAATGGACCCTTCCAGACTTCCAGTTAAGGAAAGCTCAACCTGTTAAACGTACAGGCTGATACCAGACTACCCACAGACGGTCCGCAACTCAACTAAATACCACACAAACAAACTGCTTTCAGAAGCCTTAAAACTCCTAGATGAAAGTATTGTTTCTTTTTGCGGACAAGGGGAGTAAATCAGACCTCAAAATTTATCAACAATAACAAAAAATAAAATACGTAGTAAAATAAAAACTTTTAATTCATTGGAACTTAATATACCCACGGATCAGAAAGGGTTTTGTCAAACAGATCAAATTACATGGAAGAAATATCAAAACATAATGAACACTGGTCAAACTTGCTTCTAAGTGATTGCAACGCATACCATATAGACTACACCCAATGAGTACAAGGAAAACCCTATGCATGGAACAGAGTAACAAAAATGAAATGAGTTATAAAAAATTTCCTACAATTAATCACATGAGCTAGATAACAACACAGAGAAAAATAGTAGGGGGTATAAAACAGAAGAAAAAAAGCCAGTTAATGTCTTTGTTTCAAGGCCGTGGCCAAGAGAATTCGTCTTAAGAACCCCCCCCCCCCAAAAAAAAAAAAAAAAAAAAAAAAAAAAAAAACAGCTAAAAAATAACCACTTTCCAAATCTGAGCAAGTGAACAGGGTCAATAACATTATCAGACTGAGTATATTATGCAACTGATCACAAAATCAACAAAGATTAGCAGGCAGCAAACCCGTCAACTAACATTCAAAGCACACAAGCTTCAACTGAACACCCAAAAGACAAACAGGAGGACGGGAATCAAACAACTTCATCTGAATTAATTCAGGTTCAACTGTAATAAATTAAAATCCTTTCTACTGCCACACTAATCAACAGCAAAATCAATAATTCATAATTTTGTTAATTCTCTTTAAAGCCTTAATTCTCTATAACCACTCAGCATCACTAATTATGCCAACAATTTCGTTGTATATTGAATAACTCCTTCCATTCATCATCTCTTTAAAAACAATGGAGGCAACAGCCTAGGTCCTCAAAGCTTAAAAGTCCAGTAGTCTATCCATTTATCTCAAACTCAACAACAAAGTACACTCTGGGAAACATGGCCAATTTAGCAGTCTTCAGCAGAAATCCATAATCACCGCCAAAACTAAATTTCTGCCAGTACTTCTTCCATTATTAATTAAAATAAGTCCTCGGGATTCCCATCAATCATTGAGAAGCCGAACCTCAAACATCTAATAACCTATTCAAATTCAAATCTAGCATATGAGGGAAATAAATAAACCACAGTCCCTGCCAAACAGCCAAAGGCCCAAAAGTGTAGGAGCTTATGCTCCTTAAATGTCTAGTAATGCAAGATAACATCATCTCAATTTCAACAACACTGCCAATGAAAATTAAACCAGTCCCCAGGTGTACATGCTTCAAAGTACCAAGCAAGCCAAAACATACACACATACACACACACACACACTAAAAGCATCTCCAGGATTGACACACTTACAAGATTAACAGTCATGCCCACATCAACACTACCAACTAACATTAGTAAAACTAGAAAAATTCATCTTTGCTGCATGGAGACTACCAATTTGCAATGACACACAGACAACAAGAACAAGAGAAAGAAAAATCAAGTATAGATATCAAATGAAAAATAGTTTTTTTCCCAATGCTAAAATTATCATATCACAATGCCACACTGATATAACCTAGAGAAGTTCAAAAAATAATTCATTCAGAAAATGATAATCGAACTTAATATATGCACATAACACTTCATACCATCCATAAATAGTTGCCATCAGTAGTATCTCCAAAGACAGGCAATAACTACTTTTACACAATCAGCAATACCACATCCACTTTCACATCTCAAGACATTATAAAAAAGTCCAACAGGCCCGCAAGATTTACCATACTAAAATGCATAATACTCAAGAAGGAACATGCAAGCAACCTTTGCAGATCAAAGATTAAACTACTAAGCTTACATAGCC